AGGGATAGGACAAGGAGTAACAGCCTCACTTTGTGCCAGGGGAGGTTTAGAATGGATATTAGGAAAAAATGCTTCACCAAAAGGGTGACCAGGCATTGAAAAAGGCTGCCCAGGGCACTGGTGGAATCACTGTCCCTGGAAGCGTCCAAAACCCGTGTAGATGGGGAAGAAACCTTGAAGCACTGGTGTGTGCAGATGAGAGCTGCAGCCTGGCATGTGCAAGGGGTGATTTAAACATCAAAAGCCTCCAAACCATCTGGTGGGCAGCTCTGCCCAGGCAGGGGTACCCCAGATCCTCCTCAGACTCAGTGCTTTGCTAGGTTTCAGGAGTTTTGGGGTTTCCCCCTGTCTCCTGCTGCCTAGCGAGGCTGGCTTTGCTGGGTGCACAACCCTGGGTGCCAGAGGTCTCAGCTCCTGGGCTGGGCACCACTGGGCCAGAGCCACTGTGGGAGCTGGGGCATACAGGCACATGTTAGCAAATGCCTCCTTTCACAGTGGGCTCTGCTTTCGGTTCTTCTTTACATTCTTCTTCTTTAAAAGAAGAACTTCAGGGAAATTGTACCTTGATTCCCAGAATGTGGTCAAAAGGAGCCACATAATTCCCTGTGAAACCCTTTCTGCTTAAGAATACAGCTACAAAATAGTTCAGGAGCAAAAATACTGAGTTTAAGCATATCCAGCCTGGCCATGCCTTTGGAGCCACAGTCTGGGAGCTGATACAACCTGAACCATTAAAAATCCCTCCAAACTGAGAGCCTTCCCAGCTGCAAATACCCCAGACACCAGCTGACCAAAGCCCATAGGTCTGTCACCACGTTTCCCACCTGGCATGGACTCCCGGGCTCAGGTGGACACGATTCCTTTCACAAGACTTTCTGTTTTCTTCCTGAGAGGCTCCCACCCCAGCCCCATGATGCAATACCTTAAGTCAGGCCACATTTCCCGTCTGCTGGGCATATTCCCAGAAACCCACGTTCTGGCTACTTTCTGGGTGTGAAGATTTATCAGTGCCAGCCAGAGGACAGCAGTTGCCTTGCCCTTGCAAGCCATGGAGGGAGATAAGGATGTGGACACCACCCCAGCTTACAAGGGAACAGCAGAGCCACAGAAATCTGCCACTGACACCCCAAGCAGCCTCCTCTGCATCCCTGCACCCCTCCAAGCAATCCCCCACATCTCTTCAGTGCCAGCACCCTCCCTCTCACCACAGCCCCTTTTCTGAGGTGTAACTCCAGCACCAGCAGGTTTTGCTCCCAGGGATTACCTGAACGCAGCCCGGCAGAGATGGAGTTATAGATGGAGCCTGAAAGCTCCTCCATGCTCAGCTACCACAACCTCGGCCTCACACCACACCCTGCAGGCTGTGTTTGAGCACAGCCCTCTTGGGGTTTCACCAGTGTTTGCACAGCCAAGTACCTGCTGTAAGCTGCAGCTGAAATCCTTCTTTATAGCAAGTGTGCCAAGCCGCAGGGCAGGTATAGCATTTTCTTGAGCCACCCCACCACAGAAAGCAAGTGACCTGCTCAGGGGTTTCTGCTGTGGAAGGAAATTTCCCAAGGGCCCCACCAGTTCTGGGATAAAAGATAAAAAGGATTCAGTCCCTGCTGCGTGCCAAAGCTGAGAGCCTGGAAACAGTGCAACACTGCACAGGACAGCACACAAATACCTCTTGTTCTCAGTCCTACATGGAATTATTCCAGATGGTTTAAAATACTAAGAACAGAGACAACAGAAGATCAAGCACTGTCAGACCATCACGTCAAGAAAGTTTGACTGTCACTGTATCCTTGGCTTAGCTCAGCCTACAGCCAGCCACCCATTTGTGAGCAGTCTGTCAGTGCTTTCGCACTGCTCAGAAAGTGCTAGTGGGGTCCTTGACTACCAGATGAACAGGAGTGGTGCCGAAGTCCCCAGAAACGAGTGCAGCTCATGCCTTGGTACCCACCTTTCAATGACTTACCCTCATCCCTGCACACAGCTGCAGGTGGATCCTGCTCTGCCTGCCTCCCAGAGACCCTACATCTTCTTGAGGAAGGGGAGATGACACTAGAGAACACAACCAAAATGATTTCCAAAACAAAGAAAAAGCTCAAAACAACACCCCTCCCCCCCCAAAAAAAAGACATCAAAACAAATAAGAAAGGAAATGCATGGAAATATTCCTCCTTTTACCAAAATTCAAGGCATTCTCTTTAAAAAAATCTAGTTTTCCTGCAAATGCTAACTGATATTTTTTGATCAACTCCACCACGTGGAAAAGCTCATCTACAGAAACAGAAATTCTGGTAGTACAAGCTCTAAGACAAGACATCTGATAGAGGAGCTTTCCCTTTTCTCAACGATGTTTACTTGCTGTCAGTTTTTCAAACCCATGACTAACTTGCTAATGAGTTCAGAATCTCAGCTCCCCGAATCCCACTGGAGCTGCTGTTGCTGCTGCAGTCTTACACTGGTGGTGTTGGGGAGGGAAAAACCTACCTTGTTGTCATTTCAGGTAGTCAGAGAGGTTCAAAACAGCATGTACCTCTTTGCAGGGCCAGTTGCTCTTCTTACATCATGCACATGACAGGAATTGGTTTAAGGAAGTCCACGTAATAGCAGTACAAAAGAAGAGGGAAAAAAAAAAAGGATCTAAAGCATGATAAAGATCAACAGGAAGATGTGTATCTACTTGCCTTTAAAGTGCATTCACTGCAGTTCTTCAGCTAGGAAATTGCACAAAAGAAATGATGGGAGCACCAGTAAGATGAGGCATTTGCACATCTTCCCAGCTTCGCTCCTACGATCAAACATCAAGTCCAAACCCATTGCATGCATGGATTTTTGCTCCTCTCCAACTGCCCATCAACTGAGTGAAGGAGGAAGCAACAGCGCTATTTTTGTAACCAGGAGGCTGGAAAAGCCCCAGCTCTGGGAGCCATGTCCAGCCGCTCCTGCAGGCACTGTACGGGACGGCGGGGAGATGTCTCCTGCTTGCTTGTGTGTGTGTCTGTCAAATGGCCCTGGCTCCAGATGACTGCACATCAAGACACTGGTGGCACACCCAGGTTTTCAAGCACATCTCAGCAGAAACAAGGACAAAAGCCCAGAAAAATCTAAACAAACCATTTTTCTTGCCAAAACACTGTCCTGCAGTCACGCTGGGCTGATAGTTTGCTACTGAAGTGGGATTTTCACATGCAAGAACTTGCCATGGTCTCTTTTCAACCTTACGTCAGCTTGAATTTTCTTTCTGCCCTCCTATCAACTTGGCCGCTAACCCAAACTAATCAAATGTCTTGGTGCCCTTCTGTTTGACAACACTCCTCTTCCACTAATGAGGAAACCAGAAACGCCGAGGGCGTAGGTGTTTTGGAAACACTGCAGCAAGTGCATAGCTGGAAATGCCAAGTGAAACAATTCAGTGATTCTGACATGCGATGCACAAAGCCCTTTTGCCTTGTGAGACATCTCCAAATAAATCACAGTGGCCAGGCTAACTCATAACTGTTTATTGTAAATCACTCAAGAGTTTACACATCATTAATGGCAAAGTAACACTGTTAAAACACCTGCTGGATGAAATACAGACTAAAGACAACTCTTTTATATATATGGCATCATTTAAAAAACAAGAAACAGAACAAAAAAAGAAACCATTTTAATTTTTTTTCCTCCAGTTCTACACCTTTCCTGAAAATATCTGGGCCTGAGTCTCAGTTATCTGGACATCCCTGCCTTGCCCAGGGCACGGGGCTGTGCAGCTGGGACACAGGCACTCCCTCCCCAGGGGGCAAGGTGGTGACCTCCTTTATAAGTGAAAATCACGCCCTCTATCTTCAAAAGTGCTCCAGCAGTCCAGTGCTGACAGTATGAAGCCTCTCTCCTGCACTGGCTAACATCTAACACAAAGGGGTATAAGACCCATTAATTCCACATGCCTTTTTTTCTTCTTTTTTTTTTAATGTATTTTTTCTTTTTTTTTCTTTTTTTTTTTTTGTTTGTTAAACAAGGCAACTGTTAAAATCCAGAAGCTACATAACTGTCTTTATATTTTGCTCAGAAATCAATGGATGTTGCATGCAGCTGAAATATTAGTCGAGACTCTGACTTAGATAAAGGTCAGTCTTCTAAGACCCACTAGTCAAAGGCAGAAAAAGAAATGAAGAGGCCTCTTGTGCAAAAGGAGCTAAAATATGCATGCATCAATGGCCATGACCGATTAGACTATAACTTAGGTCTCCCAACACTTAAACTGAAGCTTTATTTGGCTTAGACATGGTTGAGCTCTATACCTTTACAAATTACAATGTATATGCAACAACAAAGGAATCATCTCAACATAGCATCAGTCGGTATTTTGGCCTGTATAGACTAATCTTCAACACAAAAGCCTGCTCAGCAATAAATGGTTTTCATATTTAGCAAAGACAGCAGCGCACGGGGCTGGCTAACAGGGCTAACAGAAAGAAGAAAGCAGGTTTTCCAACTAACATCTAACAAAATTTAGGCTGATATTTCCTCTTGGACATTCTGTTTTTCATTGGTGCTGTTACTGTCCTTTCCATCAGTCTGTAGCTGAAACGGCACACTGGGCCCTGAGCCATCCCCTCCAAGAGATGCATCTCAAAAGCATAACTGATTAATAGTAGAAACAAAAATCTCCCTTAGCTGCACTTGGAAAGGATAGTTGGTTCCTCCACTGCGCCAACGTTTACGGTGAACAAGCAAATTACAATGTATTTCAGACATGAACTACAGTGACTAAAATCAAATCTCTCTCCTGTTTAACTATAATATTAAATAATATATAACATTTTTACACTTAATAGCCTGAAGTTTGGACATAAGACAGTTAATAAGGAAAAAAAGCTGGGGCCGAATCTGTCCCTGGGGAATTAATTCAGCCCAACTGAAAAGAACTAATTTTACCCAGAGGAAAATAAACCCACCACAGGCACAGGGATGCACACACCCCAACCCACGCGTACGACAGCGCTGGCACAGCGAAGCTTTGCTTTTCAAGCACTGCCATCTCCAGTCCTTTCCTTGCGAGCCTGGATCATCTCCTTCGGAGCCTGCTTGCGGTCAGTGACCAACCCCAACCAAAACATGAAGTCAATGAACCAGGTGGTGGGGTTGAACTTCAGGCCCAGCTCACTGGCCGAGTAGTCGAATGGGAAGGTGTGGTGGTAATTGTGGAAACCCTCACCTGCAAAACAGAGAGGGACTTTAAAGACCACATGGCTGGGACATTCATGAGCTTAGCAAGATGCTCTGGTGGGACATCCCAATGCCCATTTCCCAAGTCCTGAATCCAGTGCAGGTTATGCTCCACCCCTGGCCATGGGACAGCTCTGGTGCTGACCCACAGTGGACTCTATTTCAGTGCTTTGGGCTTTCCTCCCCAGTAGGAAGGGGGATGTTCCACCCCTTACACTCAAGGAAGAAAGCCGTAAGTGCTTCCAGAAGGGAGACGCACAACTGAATAAGAAGTGGAGTCACTGCTGCTGTGCTGTCCCTAGCTGACTGCTAAGAAGAGAGGATTGTTACTGTGAACATCTCTGCCCAGAGACTACATGGCATTACTTCAGTGTATGTGGGCACCATCAGTTGAACAAGCAAGCCTTCCTCTAGGATGCGCAAGCTCCAGCCTCCTCCAAGCCCTGGCTCCAAGTGGCGTCCAGCTACAGATGCCCAAAGGCCCAGGCAGGGTGAAGCAGGATGGGGCGTCACTCAGTTTGCAAAGCTCTGTGCAGGGCTACAGCACTTACCAATGGCTCCCAGAGTGACAAAGGTGTTCTGCCTGGGGTTGATGTACTTGTCATAAGGGCGGTTGCCATACATGTGGGCAGCGCTGTTGACCAGCCAGGTGACGTTGAGGGAGATGGTGTACCGGAGGATGGAGGCAAGGAAGTAGGCATTCCACAGACTTTCGCCCCAGAGGTACCACGGTACAAAGGTAGGGATCACAAAACACATCAGGATAACCGAGCTCTTGTAATACCTGTGGGGAAAGAAAAGGACACCATTATTGTGGTGAGGATGACAGCTGGGGTTAAGTAGGGCTGGATCTCTGGAGATACAGCTCTGCCTGAAACCCCTGGCATAACCTGGGCTGGCCCCATAACTGGGGCAGCAGGGAACATTTCAGACATCCAGTCATGACATAATTCTTCTAAGAGCAATTCAAAATGCCAAGACAACGCAAAACCCTGAAGCAACCCAAAATACTGGAGCTGAACAGCTGAGACCCAGCCCCAAAGCAAGCCTCCCAAGTTGAGTACCTTTAAACCTGGGTAGCACACAGTTGGCTGTGGATCCTGTGCCTAGAGTCCAGCTCTGGGGCTGGAAAAGCTCAGGGCTTGGTGTGGCATCAGCAGAGCTGTGTCAGAAACATGGTCACTGCTAAAAGTCAGCAAAGGCTTATCCTGTGCTCAGATCAGAAGGGAACCTGCAGCACAGGAATGAAGCAGCTCCTTTCTATACCGCTGCTGCTGTGTGAGCTCCAACAGCAGCAGCAGCAGACCCAAAGCAGATCCCAAAAGGCCACAGGGACCCTGCCAAGGGTGAGGAGGAAGATCCATCTTGCTGCTCTCCCAGCCCACTGACTGGCACAAGCCCTGCCACTCCTG